GTGTATGTGCGGGTGTGTGTGTGTGTGTGTGCGGGAGTGTGTGCGCACACGCCTTCGGGGGCTGGAGTGACACTGCAGTGGGCTTCTCCCTAGCCCCAGTCTTCCGACTGCTTAGCCCCTAACCTGCCGGCACCGCTTTCGGGAAGCAGCTTGGCTCTTCCATCTTCCCAAGCCTTCCTCTCCATCCTTTCATCCACCCCTCGCCAATCTTACTTTTTCATTTACCCACGGGGCCGCGGCCGGCCACCCCCTAGCCGGTGCAAACACCCAAGCCGTCTCCAGTTCTCCCCCAAGCCAGTATTTTCCCACCTGTCTTTTTCTGGGGTTTCTCCACGAGCCAGTCCAAGGCTCCCCCATCCTCGGAAATTGTTTTGTTGGACTGCTAAACCGAGGCGTGTAAAGCTTGAGGACTTTATTATATTTGGGTTCTTTTCATTTCTTCCCCTTCTGGGCAACGGAGCAATGAAATTTCCAATCGAGACGCCAAGAAAACAGGTGAACTGGGATCCTAAAGGTGGGTATTTCCTACTTTTGGCTGCCCTCGCCCTGCCTCTGTCTCCGGCGTGTGCGCGCTTCCTTGAGTGGAAGCACTCTCTCTTCTGGCAGCGTGTGTCCTGAGGCTGGGAAATGCGCCTGGGAACTGCAGCGCGGGTGGGAGGAGGGCGGAGGCAGCGTGGGTTCCGAACCCAGATAGTGCCTGTCATTACCACATAATCATTGTCCCTCCTGGATTGTCTCCAGATCTATTTAGATAGACCAAGCCGACTGTTTGGTTTGAAATTGCAAGTGTCGGTATTTGCTTTTGACTTTGAGTGTGCGAGTGTGTATGTGTGTATGTGCGTGTGTCCTTTGTTTCTGGTGATCTTTGTCTCTCTGGCAGATGGGTGGGGTGCCTCCCCCTGGACCTGGAGCTGCGCCGCATGCCCGGGTGTCCTCAGTGGGAAAGGTTTCCTGGCAGCAAGTGGGGCTCGAGTTGCAGCAGCCGTCCCTAGGGGTGGGCCCTTCTCGCAGGGCATGCAGAATAATGGAGCCCACAGGGCCTCCTGAGTCTTCGTTCAATCTTATTACCAAACCTAGCAGCTAGTTAGGCTCAGGTCAGAGTAGAAGCGGAGGAGGGGTGGTTTGTGAGAAGGGTGGGGCTGGCAAGGCATCCGGGAGGGGCACGAAGTGTGCCCGCTCAAGCAATGGTGTGGTTTGCATGCTTTTACGAATGTTGGATCAGGTTTCATCCACGCAAAAGGGAGCGATTAAGACGGATTTGTGTGTGCCTAGCGTCGGCCACCGTGTCTGTAATTAGCATACAGATGTTAAGGCTCCAAGGGAATGATCAGTATGGGAGCAGAACAAGTTGGAACCGCGTGTCCAGTTGTGACAAGAATGCTCTTTAGCATTTCTCTTAGCTCATCTGACAACTGTGTCAGGCGAGGCAACGCCTCTGTGTGTATTGGGATCGAAATTTGTTTATTTGGGGTGCGTGTGTGTTTAATGTTCTTTATGAGTGCATTTCTTCTTTTTCTCCAGACTGGAAAGAAGAAACCTTCTTATTTGTTGAGTAAATGTCTTAGGAATTGACTGGCTGTTGAAGAGTGCGTGAAGAGATACTGCCTTTTTTTAAACACCGAGATTGTTACATCTTAAATACAGCCCAAACCTTTTATTTTGTCTCTACTTGAAATCTCTGGAAATATGGAGGTCTGCCTTTGCTTTTTTGGGGGGAGAATCCCTGAAAAACATATTTGTTAAATGCCTATTGCATACTAAGCCCTGTCCTAGGCACTGGAGATACAGTCAGAACAGGAAAGACAGAAGCTCTGTGTTGGAGTTTACAGTGAGGAAGACAGACCTAAATCAGTCATTGCATGGAGGAATGCATACTTCAAAGTTTATGTAT